AATTTTCCCATAAATCAAAATACATTGATACAGGACTCGTCATATACATACATACACATCCTCCACTTTCCATAAACATCCATAGAGGGAACAAACTCAGGATGTGGAATTAGTCATCAAACACATACAACAATAAAAGGCAAAAAGATTAAACAGACATAAGTCACAAGTAACCACAGTACAGCTTCTCATATCTCCCTTACCAACTATATTAAAATGTGGCATTAAGCATTCAAATTTATGTGCCTTTGTAATTAAAATACTCATTTAATGTATAAAAAGAGTTAGCATGTAAAAATCTTTTTAGGGAACATTCAAAGGATTTCTGGTTATTAGATAATTGTTTCAGCTCTTTAGGCAGATGATTGTAGATTTTTGTACCAGAATAATATGGACCCTTTTGAACTTTAGTAAGAGTATTCGGGGGAAATAGGTTAACATTTTGTCTGGTACCAATATTATGAACCTCTGTATTTCTTGTAAACAAATGTATGTTATTTATAGTGTGTTGCATTAAGGAATATATGTATTGTGAACACAAAGGCAGAATTTTCATTTCCTTGAAAGAGTCTCTACATGAATCTCTTTTCTTTAATCCCATCATAATCCTTATAATTTTCTTTTGGATCATAAAAAGTTTCGTCATGTATGAAGAATTGCCCCAGAAGATAATTCCATATGTCATCACAGAATGTATATAAGCAAAATAAATCATACTTAAGCTACTTAATGATATCATAGGCTTAACTGATCTCATGAGAAAGCAAGACGAACTCAAAGTAGTAACCAGGTAATCGACATGATACTTCCAACACAGCCTATTATCAATATTTTTTTTATAAAATATAAAATTTTAATTATCGATTGCGCACATTTTAACTCAACTGTAAGCACCTTTAAATAATTTATCATTTTAGAACAATTGTGGCACTTATTAACTTCATTCTCCCAAAAATTCTGATCAATATAGCGAGACAGTTACTAAGCACATCTTCAACCAACACCATATTGCCATGTACATCAATATTATATATTTATTATCAGAATATTTTTCAATATCCTGCAAAATCAGCATAAGGAAAAGAGATCAGTGTTCAACAAAAATTAATGCAGATGATTTTTGCTATGAATCCAGCATTAAGGACACAGAAAGTTATCTTGTTGACCTTCCTTCCCATGTGGCCAGTGGTAAAAATTCAATTTTCTGTGCTCATTCCACACACTTGGATGTAATGCAGTTACGTTGATTTTAAAAGATGACATAATTCATAATTATCAGTCTCTGGGACTGTTCCAGACCATGTGAGCAAATGTGGAAACAGAGTCAGGCTAGTACATTCAGTAAGCAGGAAAATGATTAAAAGGAGGGAATNTTCAACAAAAATTAATGCAGATGATTTTTGCTATGAATCCAGCATTAAGGACACAGAAAGTTATCTTGTTGACCTTATTTCCCATGTGGCCAGCCCAATCAAATTTATTTCCTCATTACTTTCGCCATAACAAAGGCATCAGAATCATGGGACAATGTATTTGACAGCAATAATATTGATTCTAAATTTAATTGCTTTCTGAACACATACTTGAGGATCTTTTATTCAAGCTTTCCCTTAAAAATAGTCAAAAATGAAAATAAAAACAAATCCACCTGGATAACAATTGGAATAAAAACTTCATGTAAACACAAAAGACAACTATATTTGGCCAGTAGGGACAGTAATGATCCAAGACTAAAAAGTCACTACAAAATGTACTGTAAAATTTTGTCAAAAGTCATTAAAGAAGCCAAACAGAATAACTATAACAGCCAAATTCTAAAATCAAACAATAAAATTAAAACCACCTGGGATATTGTGAAAGTTGAATCAGGAAAGAAATCTGTTAATGAAGACGTACAAAGTTTGAATATTGAAGGGAAGTCCACTAACAATCCACAAGCTATCGCAAGTGCATTTAATGAATATTTCCTTTCATTAGCTGAGAAAACATATTCCAATAATAATAATAATAATAATAATCCAATATACTATCTGTCTCGTGCCTTTAACAATTCATTTCCAAATATCAATCTCAAATTCTCAACAAGGAAGGAAATTGAAAACATTATTAAATCCCTTAAGCCCAAAAATTCACATGGATATGATGAAATCTCTACCAAATTACTTAAAGCAAGCTCTGTTTACATCAGTTCACCCTTGAATCATCTATGTAATAAATCTTTATCATCAGGTACTTTTCCTCAACGCTTAAAATACGCTGTAATGAAACCACTTTTTAAAAAAGGAGAGAGAAAATGCATCTCTAATTACAGACCAATATCCATATTGACTTCATTCTCAAAAGTCTTTGAAAAAGTTATGTATAATAGACTACTTGAACACTTAAATTCTAACAACATATTAGTCAAAGAGCAATTTGGATTTAGGAAAGACCTAACAACAGAAAAAGCAACCTATGAACTAACTAACGATATTTTAAGTGCTCTCAATGACAGATTAATTGTGGGAGGGATTTTCTGTGATCTAGCAAAAGCTTTCGATTGTGTTAATCATGATATCTTACTATCGAAATTAAATTTCTATGGAATAACTGGCAAAGCTAATGAATGGATCAAATCATACCTCAAAAACAGGTATCAAAGAGTTGAAATAAATAATAAAAACTCCAGTCATAATGCATTTTCAAACTGGGGAATTATAAAGCACGGTGTTCCACAAGGATCAATTTTAGGTCCCTTACTTTTTCTTCTCTACATAAATGATCTATCTAAAACCATCAACAATAAATCTAAACCAATTCTATATGCAGATGACACTAGTATAATATTTAAGAACTCTAAATTTGAAAACTTTAAAAATGACATAAATATTGTATTTGAAGCCTTAAACAGATGGTTCGAAGCCAATTTACTCTCATTAAATTTTGATAAAACCCATTACATATCATTCACAACTAAAAACAACCACCAAATTGATCTGGACATCAGTTATGCCAACAAATTAATCTGTAAAGTACTTGATACAAAATTCCTTGGAATACATGTAGACAGTACACTGTCTTGGAAAATACATATTGAACAAATTATACCTAAATTAAATGCAGCTTGCTATGCGATGAGATCAATTAAGCCTTTTATGTCACAGGAAACATTGAAGATGGTTTACCATGCCTACTTTCATTCTATTATGAACTATGGATTAATATTTTGGGGGAACTCTTCACATAGTGTAATAATTTTTAAAATACAAAAGAATATAATTAGAATCATTACAGGATGTAGAAGTAGAGATTCATGTAGAGAATTATTTAAGAAATTAAAAATTCTACCTCTTCAATCGCAATACATATTATCGCTTCTCTTATTTGTTGTTTACAACAAAGATAAATTCAAATTAAATTCTGATGTCTATAACATGAATACTAGACAAAAATATAACTTCCACCTACCCTCATCAACTTTATCAGTATATCAAAAAGGAGTCTACTTTACTGGCATAAAAGTGTTCAACAATCTGCCACAAAGTATTAAAAACTTGGGCAATGACACTAAAAAGTTTAAATCAGAGTTAAAGAATTATCTGCATGCTCATTCCTTCTACTCTTTAGATGAATACTTCAATGTAAATAGATAATGATGTAAAATTAAGTTATATTAATTTTTAAGCTAAAATTGCCTGTACTTATGTATGTAACCTTTTGACTTGGTCTGTATCCAAAGGTACTAACCTGCTTAGGAATTATAGAATGTAAATAAATTCAATTCAATTCAATAATAACAATGGGATTGTTGCTAGGATGTGAGTGAAAACCCAGAATATCTTCCATGTTGCTAGGACACATGGGGAACCCTGAACGGTCTTCTACCCTTACTAGAATAGGGGGTAAAATCCAGCTATCTCCTGTTGCTGTTAGATAAGGGAGAAAAATGGTGATGGGTGAACACTGGTATGGGTACTTGGTATGGAAAAGGATTACAGGAGAAAAGATGGAAGGAGAAGAAAGTACGAAATGGATAATAGTATTGAAGAACGGAGGTGAGGGAGTAGTATTAACTTGAAAGAGGATGTGAAAGGGAATGATGATAGAAGAGACAAGAGATGGAAAAGAAGTTCCAGAAAAAGAAGTGGCGTGATTATCCCCAATTCAATTTGACAGGTAATGTAAGGAACCACCATGAAGAGAAATAATTTCTGAAATTGTAATGCAGCAATTTTTGCACAGGAATGCTAGTATTACTTTGAAAGCAAGACTCGCGATTTTTGTCAGAACATACATATTTGTAAATATAAACGAAATACTCTCTCCTTCTTTCCACATTTGCTCACATGATCACAACAGCATACTCTGAAAAGTCTTTTTTGTTATACTGCAGTGATATGAAGCATGTGTTATTAAAGCTACACACACATATCAAGAGGTTCAGTTTGATAAACATCTGTGCAATAAATTGTAAAGGTAAATTATGTTTTTCTGTCATCATGTAAGACTTAAACCTATCACCTCAGGCAAACAAGTTCAGTGGGGTCTACATCAAGCAGAACTGAATACTGGCTGGTGGTCCACATGCACCTTTGCAGCATGCAATATCTTGCTAGACAGTGCAACACTGTTACCCTACAAGCAATATTTTATTTTTAACGTTGGAAAGGTCACATGTGTAAAATGAGAATCATGTCTCTGGGTAATATTTCCTTGGAATGCAGTTATGTGCAAATCTCCTAAACAGTCACACAGACAATAATGTACATGGATAAAACTCTATGTTGAACGAGGAGATGGAACAGATGAAAATGTGTAAGTATAAAAACCAAGATTTATACTAGGATGTAATTATATAATAAGCAATGGATTAATTACTGAGTTGTTGGTAGATATACTTATAACATAAAAACCAAAGACAATGAGGAACCAGAGGAGGTGTTCACATGGATCAGTTTATAGAATTTTTTTTTCCATGTAATCTAAATTAAAATGAAAAATGTAAGAAATCAAATACATACCTGGAAGATGTCAGGGCTGCCTGTGCCCACAGAGCTCCCACTAGCACCATCTCCCCCTCCATGATGCTGACCATCACCATCCTCAAAGTTTGCAATAATCTGCTCACGGTCATCTGCCACATCATTGAGACGATCATCAGGATCAAGAATTCCTCCATCAGATTGCGATTGCAAGTTGTGCACAACAACCCAAGAATCTGTTGACTGTAACAAACATTCAGAGTGAACACATAATTTTTCTAACATATGCATTCCTACATTGAGAATGCCAGATAATAAAATTTACGACAGTAATCATTTAAACAAGAATGAACAAATGTGCTTCATTCCCAAGTACACAGTTTCCAAATTTGTCCTTTGTAGTTTTACATACAAATACTGGCTTCCATTGCACTGCCTGCAGCCTTTCTCTCTCATTTTGTTTAATACAAACATTTAAAGTCATAAGTAAGTTAATGATGTGCTGCCAAACTTCCGTACCATAACTTCATATTCTGGTCTCTTCATCCCATGCAATGAGCCATCAGTAAGATAAGAGTTTGGGTGAACACCATAGCGGATCTGGACATAGAGGTGTAAAGAAAATTCACATTCTTGTTGAGAATAAAATCTTTGTTGCCCAGTCTGTAGCCATTCATGAGCTATATGGGACTGTGTACATAAAATACCTTAACCAGGCATTCACTGAAACCACAATAAAAATAAATAAACATATCAATTGTGCAGGGAAACTCTGGCATGGGCGTAGATAGTAATCAGATACTGAAACCACAGGCCTCAAGTACAGAAATGCAAAGTCAACTCATACAAAAACATTTTATACCTTTCAGCTATGTACATTTTTTTAAGTCGTTGGCTGATTAATATGACTAAACCATGCTAGTAGGTTTGGTTTATTACGAAACACGTCTAAAAAGAGACTAGAGAAAATTGGGTGGGAATTGTCTCACAGCTGAGAATATAGGGCACTGAAACTGTTGCAGGGGAAAGAATTCAAGTCAGCTAGCCTGGCAACAAAAAGTAAAATAAATTTGACTAAAGTAGGGGAAAGTAGGTCTGACAGAAACCTCGTTCCATGCCAGTGAACACTATCAACATTGTTGTTGCTTGAGCAACATAGATCACGAAATGATATGTAATGTCAGAATAATCAGGTTGCCACAAACATGCTAGTTTTCTGTTCTTATAGATTATATATATTATTCAAGACATCAAAATACAAACAAAATATTACATTTTTGAGAAGTCGTTTTTCTGTTTGTGGAGGAACGGCTGCAATCATGTTCGTGACCCTGGCAGTCATATCGGTTTATGCTCTAACAGGGATAGGATTATCAGTCTTCGCTACGGCTTGAATGGACGACATGAAATAACTCAGAATCAAGCTGTGATTCGGGGGAGGGGGCGTCTCATAATCGCGGGGCCAACGTGTTGCACAGTATGCCTCTGGAAGGTCCCATAAAATAGTCTACTCAGTCTAGCTGTCCATTTATTTTTAAACAAACGAACTATTTTGGCTTCCAGTTGGCACCAGAGCTACACGTAGTATGGCCGTGGTGGCGAAGAGAATATCCCCTGCCTTTGCCATAAATTGAGGCTTAACCTTCAATCCCTTCGCATTTCGTACGCAGATTTCTTGCACGTACATGCATTGTCGATATAGCGACTAGCTACGCGCCGGACGACCTAGGGATCGGAGTTTGAGTCCCGGTAGGGTCAAGAATTTTCTTCTTTCCGCGTCGTCCAGAGCGGCTCTGGGGCCCACCAAACCTCCTATCCAATGGGTACGGGGGCTCTTCTCCTGGGGGTAATGCGGCCTGCGGTAAAGCAGACCGCTCTCCTCCAACTAGTGCCGAGGTCAAGAAAATATGGACCTGTACATCCGTTCCCCCATACTCCTCCATTGCGTGGTGCTTAAGTGGTTAAGGAAAGAGTCAACTTTACATACATTCACTGCGCCGTTAATCATTTGCATGTTAACTGCAGTTGTGCGAAAATAAATACATTCTCACTATAAACTGTCTCAAATTCCTCAGCGCAGCTGCCTTGCTTTCCCACCATTTTGCCTCAATATCCCCATCAGTGTTCGTTATTTAACAGGAAACATTGCACAGCCACATTGGACACAATAACAACACACAATCACCTGGACAGCTACTGCACCCAAGACTGAGGAACACAGAGTTCCTACTATGCAGAAAACTTGCTGAGTTCAGTTTCGCACACTGCATCCCGGGAGGGGTAAGTGGGTAGGTTTGCTGCTAGATGTGCACCGTCATCGGGTATGGAAACTATGGAAACTTTGGAAATGTAATATCGCGAAAAGGTCGTTATATGTCACTTATACAAATAACGATTAAGTTCATGCACAGGAAAACAAGAGAAGTAGTGCGTAGTCGCAAGCAACAGCAAAAATCCCACTGATAAGCAGCAAACAACTCTCATTATACTCGTACATTAATTAACGGTTAAAGTTTCTAGCGAACCCACAGCTGCGCTGTCACTAAAGTCTACACTCAATGCAAGGACCCAACAGAATTGGTTTTCTTTCTTATTCTATTTATCTGAAGATGAAACCGATTCAATTTCCGAAATGCAATGGTTTAAATAACACAAAAATTATGGACATCATATAAAAACATTTTAAATTTAGTTCATAAACTTGATAATTTGTACTTTTCGCAAAACATTATTAGAATAACCAAATCAGGGAGCGACAGGTTGTACATATGGGGAAGATAAAGACATTTCTAGACCAGATAAGCGATAAACAGCTTATCAAGAAATGCTCTGCTCACTGGAGCTAGTTAATAGAAATTTGAGTATTATAACACTAACCAAATGACATCGCGAACTACCAGATAAGAAACACTACTTTAAGCCCATTTCATAGCATCAAGCACACGTGCAGTGTGTCCGGGGACGCACTGTGTTGCTACCAGCATGTGTGCTTGCAAGGATGGCTGTCACTGTCGAGACTCCTTAATTAGAATAAGAGGTCTAAGTGAAGGCAGGAACCCTGCTCTTATCCCGTCACCAGCTGATAACGCCCGCACTCAGAATGCTTCTCATGAAGCGAAGACGTGTTAAGAGTGTAGACGTAAATCTCCACGCATTCTTAAACTCAGCACCATATTTAGGAGGATGATCAGCTTCACCCTCCGGTCGACTTTGCCTCGGCAAACTGCATATCGTATCCTTTGAACGGAAGGCTGGATGTGTCAGATATCTTGTTCAAAAATATACTACGTCCCTAACGGGAATCGAAACGCAGCAGCACATTTTCGTATGCTTCCATTGTCAGTATTGTGTATTATGGAACTGCCAAAAAAACGCAAAAACATTGTGCAGAATCGTAATCCTTCCGTGTGTACGTTTCCTATTGTTCCCACGGTCTGGAGGCTGGTATAACGCTGTAATCTTGGGCCACCGTATTCCGTCGCTAGAACATCCATACATGTTCGAATGCATACAGCGATCTATTTCGCAATTACAATGCTCGTCACCAGGCGATGACACCGCGATAAATAACAGAAACGTTATGTGATGTCATATTCTTTTATTTACAGAATTTTAATTTAATGACAAGCCTAAGTTAGAACAATTTAATGTTTGTTTTTTGCAATGCACTAACAAGTATATGTGTTCGCGGTTAAAACAACCTTTATTCTTTAAGTCGTTTACAAACTTTAAGGAAGTTCCACACAAAAGATTCGTCTAACATTTAATAATGTAGTTACAGTACTAAGTAACATTATTATGTGTTTGATATGGAGGGAATACAGTCACTCAGAGGGGAAAAGCACTGATATAATTTGGTTCTAAAGGGTTCCGACGATAGTGTATAACACTCAGAATTCATGGATTTGGGGACTTTGTCTATCGTCCGGTATTCTAGAAACTAGAAAACACGATGTTTCGGAAACGGGACCTGGTTATTTCCCGCCGAATTAGCCTGGTCTCAGGTGGTTAAATAGCTGTGTGAATCTGACAGGGCTTGTCCAGTGATTGAGGTTAACTCTTTCTAAGGGACCCAACTGAGTAGGTGTCTTCCCCCTCACATGAAGACGGAAACAGATCCAGTTTCCGAAACGTCGTGTTTTCTAGTTTCTAGAATACCGGACGATGGAAAAAGTCCAAAAACTAAGTAATTCTCGTTGTTATATAATTTGCTACAGAAAATGAATTGAAAATCACAAACACGTTCCTGATACACAAAGACATTCCTAAATTTACATGGTGTGCTAGAAACTGCAGGTTAATGTCTGATTATATACTGGCAAATAAGAAGACTGCAACACTAATGAAAGATATATTCATTTCCTTGCTATTGCAAAATTAGCAATGCCTGATACACGGTGTAAAAAGTGTATAAATGTAAAGAGACGGATAAACATTTACTGTACACCTACTGAAAGGAAAGAACGCACTGAATTTATATACGGAAAGACTAAACACATAGCTGGACCAAAGACCGACATGTAACAATGTTAATTTAGAATTGAGTGATATAATTCAAACAATTCAAGTTGCAAAAGAAGTATTCCGCAGACACAGAAAGAATAACAACATAACCTACCTTCCAGCAGAGAAATGGGAAGCACACTTACAGTTTCTCAAGACGGAAACAAAAGCTGATAAGAGAAATGTTGGCCGCGCCATTGCTCAAGCGGCTAGTCGCTGGCTTCCCACCGCGGCGGCCCGAGTTCGATCCTGGGTCTGGTCAAGTGGGATTTGTGGTGGACAAAGTGGCGCTGTGGCGAGTTTTCTCCGAGTATTTCGGTTTCCCCTGCCAATCTTCATTACACCAAATTCTCCATCATCATAATCGCCCGGGACAGGCTACAATAGGCCAATCAGTGGCCGCCGTGCCGAGTGGACCCAGCTGGACTCCACGCCCCACTACGTGAACTTAATTTTTTTTAAATAAGAGAAATGTTAAAAGACAATGAGAATAAACACGAACAGCTGAGGTAAATATATAAGTAATATATATTATGATGCTCGTGGACTTCAAGCAACAGCATACGAAATGCTAAGAGAACTAAATACAACAGGAAGAGATGAAATCAAATTAAACCTTATATCTAAGTCGAATGGAATATATATAAGGGTTGGCTAAAAAGTAGTGGCAACATTGCTGTAACATGAAAGANATCTACTGCCCTAAGTGTCCATGTTTCAGCCCCATACAGAGCTATGCT